ATGGTCTAAAGAATGAAGCCCAATTAGGAAACTCGAAGGATGTACCTAAACCAAGACGGAGTTATGTAATTGAGGCCCATCCTCGCTTAAGCCTACGAGACGTCCAGATGCCCAAGATCTGGGCGAGCCTGTTATCACTCAAAGCCTGTGCGACGTCCAAGATCTGAGGGCATATAGTGTTTTGGTTACTATTTGGAGCAAAGGTTATTGAAGCAGTTAATGGGTAACCTTATCATATTCCATGATCCAAGAATCTCAGTTGCAAAGAGTTAAGTGATGAGAGTAATGGCAGCGGTTGAAAATGGTAGTTTCTTGACAAGTCATCCATGATGGAAAAAGTGGGTAGTTACAACTCTTAAACAGATAATTATGTAATTTCATTTCTTTTCGTGTTAAACTTTCAATTACTTTGCAATTCAGTGTGTTTGTGCCTCTTGGAGGCATTTCGTTTCATCCAAATTGTAATATTCATAAATAAAGCACCCATGCAACCCTGAAACAGAGGAGAAGTTGTCGTTCCTTACACAATCATCTGAACCTTCTTTTAATTGTTAGCGATTTCTACGCTAAACAAGATCCTATGGCTATCTTAGAGAAAATACCTACACTAAATTTCTTGTCTCTCAATCTGAATGTCTTTCCGGGGAAGGAACTGTGTTGATCTCGACAAGGTTTCCCTCAACTCAGAACGCTTGAATTTCGTGAGATTTCGGGCTTTGACAAGTGGATGGTGGAAGAAGGAGCCATGAGTCATCTTCTTCGTTTAAAGATTGTTGGATGCAGAAAATTGGAAATGATTCCAGATGGATTAAAATTTGTTACTACCATCGAAACATTGGAAATTTCAGACATGTCGAAAACTTTTTACACCGGCTTCAAAAGAAAACCAGGGGTGGATTTCTACAAAATAAGCCATATTTCTTCCATCACATTTTTTTACTATATCAGAAAAGACTATGGGAACCTACTGAAGAGGTTATCAGGTATCAGCCCCCCACCCACATGGCGCCCATGGTAGTACAGGGCCCATGTGGCCATCCAGCTTTGTTCTACAACTTTTTCCTTCTCTGTCCCCCAGACACAGGCTTGCACATGTGCACGCTATTTCCTCAACTAGTAAATTTTGTGTTTATCTTATAACTGGCCTGGACTAACCTCATTTTCCATATTGGCCAAATGAACAAATCTTCAGAAAGTTGCGAGGATACATGTCAAGCTTGAAAAGGTAATGTTGGACTCGATGGAATTGGACAAAATTTGGATAGAGCCAGCAAGTTGATAGAAAATCCCACATCCAGCGGTAATGCCTTTGTCATTTTTCGGTGTCTTCAAGATATTCATGAAACAATCAAATTGCTGTACAGATAACTCAAACTGATGATATTATTGAAACGTAATACCAATTGCTAGCACTTCTTGGGATCCAACTACCAAGTTCTACCCAGCTAAATGGTAAATTTTTTAAAGAATATTATATTGCGAAGGATTTACATAACAGAGAAACCAAGAACAAGCAAGAATTGAGCTTTTCCCAATAGAACAAACATGTAGATTTGGAGTGATTTTCTGGGTAGAAAATTCAAGATTATCGTTAAGCAATGATTTCCAATTTCAAGAACCAGGCTCAGTTTACCAACCAAATCAACACCCAATCGATCGATCCAAAACCTTCAAAATACTCCTCTCTTCGATTGCTTTCAATTGTACCCACTTAGGACACAAAGGGAAGGTGTTTTGCAGTCCCAAAGTCGGAGCATTTGGCATTAGGATAAGAAGAAAAACATGTAGCATTTCAATGTGTTTGATATGTGCATTGGCATGAATTGGAGTGATATTATTACTTGGTGTAATTGTTTGCATGCATAGTAGGTTGGGATGCATTAACAATGTGTTGTATGTCATTTGGTAAGGTGGAGTATAGATGCCTACGGGTACATTAGTGGTTTGTATCGGGGATGTTGAGTGTGACATTTGGATCACGAGTGGAGAGGTGATCAAATGTTGAAATTCTTTATCTGTGTAGAGACCCTGATCAAGTGGAGTGTGAGAGGCACTTCTATCACTTCTGTTAGGTAGAGACCTATTATCTACGTAGGTTGGAAGAAATGATGTGGTGATAGAGGATTATCCCTAGAACTTAGGATCTATAGAGGCTTACCATTAGACATGTTTTTGAGTGATTAGTCATGTGAGTATGGTGGGTGACGAGGTGAGATATGTGTTCTCGAGGTATGAGCAACACGGAATGGGATAGGATAAGTGTGGTAAGATCTTTTCGTGGGGTCATTTATGCATTTGTTGCATATATGTTGACTTGTTGATTAACATGGTGTTAATATGTTGTTCTGTGTGAACATGTTTTGAAAATATCTATGTGTTATCATATATATGATATTCTCATCGCATGTTTATTTGCTCTTGATTAATTGCTGTGATTATCTGCTTCTATTTGGGTGTTCTTCATCTTAGCCCTGGTGAGTATATGGAGCAGGTATAGTATGTGTTTCGAATCCAAAACACAAGGTAAGGTCTGTGATACCAATTTTATTTGATTACCTTGATTGTACAAGTATAAACTTTATGTTTTGTTTGCTTGCGATTGATTGGGAATCAAGGTGGAGATTTGTTGGGTTTTGATACCCAATAAATTCCGACAATGATGAAAAACAGTTGACAAAAATTTATTGACACCATAAACTTGGCTCGACTTGAATACTACCGACACTTTTGGAAGGTCCAAGTTGGAGATGGATTTGTGGTTGTGATTAGTAAAAATACGTAGTTTACTAACTAAGTTCGTTCTTACGTTTTGAATTACGCTAATTAAAGCAAAAAGTCACATTTAATTAGTTTCTAGATGATTAAGCATACAATTCAATTATCCTATATTTGAATACCACAATTTGTAATATGGAAAGCTATAAAGAATGAACATCAAAATGATGACGGAGAAACCCAACTGGGTAAAAAGTCCAGGACTAAGCCAATATGGATTACAGTCCGTTTCCAGCCTAGCAAAGTCCACTAGTTTCTATTGTTGTAATTCCTATAATCTCCAAGATCTGTTGTTC